TTCTTAGTAGCCCCAATTCTACAATTCATAGTGGGAGAAATATTCTGATGCTACCAAGAAATGTGGAAAACCAAGTTCGTGACGTGGGAGAGGCCTTTCTGCTATCATCACTTAGAAGGTTTGCTCTTCCCTTCATTCCACTTTCCCTTCTAATTTATGTACCTGGTAAACTATGATCCTTTGTTTTTGTTATCTGGTATCAAATTAGATTTGCTTTGCTCTCATCTACTCATAAATTCCTAAACAAAATCATATACTTACGAGTTAATAACACTTAATAGTTTTTATTAAAAGTTGCATTACATGAGATATGGTCTAAACATATGTTTATAAGTGGGGTAGTCCCACCTTACAAACCGGTTTTGTAAAGTTGTGCTAGAATCAATTCAAATTTTAAGATGACATCAAAGTCTATTCAATTCTAAATATTTCTCGTTTTTCTCATTGTAACAAAGATTTATGAGCTGTCTATACTTTTTATTCTTTATGATTCTTTTGGGCAGTTTTGTAATGGTTTTTTATGGTTACGAGAGATTTTATTAAATCCTGACTTATGCATTCCTTTTGGTGCAGGTATGAGAACATTATTGTTGCAGCAGACCTTGTTCCTGAAGCTTTGTCATTTGCAATGAATCGTGCGTCCACTATTATTGCATCTAGTGGAAGGGTGTCAAACTCAGGAGCTACTGCTTTTACTCGGTATTTATTGAAAAAATACAGTAATGTTGCTAGTGTCGTTGAATGGGAGAAAACTTTTAAGTCTACATGTGATGCAAGACTCTCTACTGAATTTGAGTCTATTAAGTCAGGGGATGGAGAGTTAGGGTTGCCCTTTGGAGTTCCTACAGGAGGTGAGGACCCTGATGATTTTTTTCGTCATAAGATAAGTGGTAGCCGGTTACCATCCAGGGTAGGTGCAGGCATGAGAGACATAGTGCAGCACAACATTAAAGAGGCGTTCCAATATCTTTTTATAAAAGTTCATGCCTGATACAGACCTTTGTTGTTTTTCCAATAGCATCTTGTGGTGTCCAGAGGATATGAAAATATCACACTTTACCTTATTCGTGAAGGTGTAGACATCAACATCAAAGGTAATTTATGTGACTTAAAGATATTCCTCTAGGATCAAACTTAAATTTAAGGTAATGCAAACATCACTAATGTGGTACCTCCATAGATAACTTCGGGAACACACCACTACTTGAAGCAGTTAAGAATGGATACGATCCGATTGCTTCTTTACTTGTTAGAGAAGGGGCCTCTATGAAGATAGATGATGGTGGCAATTTTTTATGCACAGCAGTTGCCAGAGGAGATTCAGACTATCTTAAAAGGCTTTTATCTAATGGAGTGGATCCTAACTTGAAATATTATGACTATCGAACCCCTCTACATGTTGCTGCATCTGAAGGTTTAATCTTCATGGCAAAGTTGCTATTAGAAGCTGGAGCCAGTGTTTTTACTAAAGACAGGTACTGTTTAATGTTACTGATTCTTGTTTTACATGTACATACTAGCATTACTAGTGTTTCAAGTAGGGAACCATTCAATACTTGTTTTCACTTGAAAAATAAAAAGGGACATGCTTATTTAAAGGTGGCCTAGTTTAGTAGTGTGTCAGGCTTCTGTTTTCTAGAATTCGTCCCCATAAACCATATAATTATAGTTTGCAAACATTGCATTATTATTATACTCTGGACACATCTGAACTTCAGCGTTGGTATGAGCAGTATTGTGTTGTGACTTGTGAGCTCTTAATTGTATTTATGGACATTACTAGTGCTTCCACAAAAATTATCTATTATAGGTGAAATATGACTATTTCTCTTTTCCCTTCTCCATATTTCCCCTAATTTCAAACATTTAGCTGAACTGTTTATTTAGAATATACTATTGATTTGTTGTTTCTTTCCTTTTCATTGTTATTTACACTAAGCATAACCAAAACCTGTTGTTCTTTTTCATTTCACTGCAAAATAGATGGGGAAATACCCCGCTTGATGAAGCTCGTATGAGTGGAAATAAGAACCTGATCAAGATGCTGGAAGATGCAAAATATGCTCAGTTGACATAATTCCCTTTTCCCCAAGAAACTACAGGTACTGATATGATGTGTTAACCTTCTTTTATTCTAAGAGGTTGTAAGAAGTTCAACTGAATACACTAAGTAATCAGTTAATTTATTATTAAAAAGGCAACATATATTAATTGGGTCAATATTAAGCACAAGCCGTGCTAAAAATGAGCAGTAATTACATAGTTTACACAAAGTCATCTCAAGTTTTTAGAGGCCCTGTGTAGGTTACTTACAGTTCAACCATGATAAAATAATTAGAGGCCCTATTTAACCAAATTTTAACAATGACAAAGATTTATGAGGCCCTATTTAAGTATAGTTCAATTGTGAAAATTGAGGCCCTGTGCGGTAGCCCACATTGCACGCCCTCAAAGATGCCCCGAGTTTACACCTAATGCAACTCGTGATCTCTTTTTTCTATCAAAGACGCAACTACCTTAAACCATAATTGTATATGCTAGACAAAATAGAACTGTTCCATCTCCCTTAAGTTTCTTCTAAAACACTTGCTCAATAGCCAAATCTTCCTTTCACATATTAGCCAAACTCTTGAACCATTCCTGCTAATTAGTGATATCACCAGTAATGCAACAAGAAACTACCTTTAAGAACAAGGTCAACAACAAAAAACTAGAACCAAAAACAAAGTCCAACGGTTGAACCATGCCTCAAAAAATCAAGTGAGGATTAATATTAACTCTTGAATGATCTGTCACCTGTTGCCTCTTATGTAAATATTTTGCCTCTAGTTCCACATCTGAAAAATCATTTCTCCATGGAAAAGGACAACATGCGAAAATGTGGCTGTAAGAGCTGCAAAGCTCATTCCGTATTGGAACGCAAATGTGACACTAAGATAGATCTTGCTGTAATTGTTGTAACTGTCCATATCAATGTCAAAAGTTTTGGTATTGAGGATCTGAGTAATGTTGTAAGTTGCACCGGTAGAATCAAATGTGTGAGAGCTAATGATAGGAAATTTTTGAGCTTCGTATAAATTGTTCCAATAGGAAATTGGAATTAAAACATACATATACAATAAGAATCCAGCCATTATGTTGATGATGGCAAAGCCAGGAACAGCCAAAGGACTACCTATGAAGCCAGCAACTGTGTTCCAGTCCAGGCCAAATGAACCAACGCCAAGGCCTTTCATGCCCGATCCAACTTGTTGCGCACTAATGGAATTTTTCCAAATCAAGCAAACAAAAGACATGGTCGATATTGCTTGGAAAAAATAGCCTGGGACAATGTAATATGCAAAGCTAGCTACAAAGACTATGAAAAAGAATTGCAGCCTAGAAGTTCCTCCTTTAGGCCTTTTTTCTTTTTCATGAAATGCTCTAAATAGAGACACTTGCACAAGGCTTTCAGGCCATCACATGCAAGGCGAATCAACAAGGAACCTTCTGAAAATTCCAGCCCATCCATACCCTAACATCTGAGTCGATAGTGCTAACATATACGCTGCTATTGGATTGATACTTCTGTGATAGAAAGCCTTTACAATTGATGTTAATAGCATAAACGCCACTAGATCCTGAGCTAGCAAAGATAGTTATCAACGCGTGTTCCTTCAAAGAGAATGGCCCCGGATTCAATGAAAAATACAAATCTGTGAAAGGGACTTGAATTGGTTTTGTAGGAAATGTTGCAGCCATAAGTTTCCCAAGTGGGAGTGTAATAATCTGAGCAGAGACAGAAGTGATTTTCTTATCAACAGCTTCAAGAAACTCTTTGGCATTTTCAATATCACAAAGAGCATTAAAGTACTTGATATCATTTTGAGGCAACATGCTGCTAAGCAGTAAGTAGTTTTTCCTTGTACGGTATCTTCATTTTTGTTTATGCATGTTGCATTATTGCACCTCAATATTTCTTACTTTGCATTGCTATTATAGGGCCTTCCTACTTGTGCGTCAAAACTTTTTTCATAATTATCCCAAGAGTTTTGCTGATGTGGGGGGTGGTGTTCTAGGCTGCAGGGGATTCCATTCAAGTTTTAGAGCTACTCAGAGCGGTCTCTCCCTTAACATAGGTTAAATCTTTATCTCATATGCAACCAATCTTTATTTTTTTGGTGTTAAAGCTCCGGTTTCCATCCAGGATTTGAAATTGTCTGACTTTCCTCAATCTTCCAAATTATCTAGATGTCACAACCACCATGATAATTCAACTTGGGCCTGTGGTGGATTTCTTAATTTCCAATCAAAATGCAAGAGATCCTTTTCAACTTGACTAGGCAAAGGTACGACTACTTGCTTCATATTGTTTATCATCATTGATTGATCATGTCTGATCTTTTAATTGGTTCCTTAATCAGGCTAAAAGGACACTAAAAAATCTGAGGGTTAAAACTCATCCATGCAATCAAGAGGGGAAAATTTGTGGACTCAGTGAGGTTCCATGCAAAGAACTTACGTATTCCTTTTCTTTCCATTTAATTTTGTTAAATTTCTTTAGCTGAGGAAGGCATATTGTTGACCTTATGTATGTGCTGCAATGTATTGCGGAGTTGTTTTGCATAATGAGTTAATTTTTTTATATGAATCGCATTTTGGCAGCTTTACTTTGAAAAAAAGGGATGGGGATGGTACTGAAGAAATGACTGTTTTAGATTATTTTGTTAATGTCCGTAAGATAAATCTATGTTACTCTTCTGACCTGCCATGCATTAATATTGGCAGGCCTACACGGCCAACTTATATACCCATTGAGGTGAATTTCAGTTTTTCCATTTGATAAGTATTGCATTTTTTTTAGTGGTTTAAATTGCGTGTTTGGTTATTAACTCTCCATTTGTTCATGTTTGTGCCTTTAGCTATGTGAATTGGTGTCGTTGCAATGATATACCAAAGCTCTATCCACACTTCAAAGGGATTCGTTAGTAGAAAAGTCCAGACAAAAGCCACAAGAGAGAATGAGAATTTTATCTGATGTAAGTTGTTTTGCTTAGTTTCGATTGATATTGCCATGTCATCTATATGTTGTATCTTAAGGGTTCTTTTGTTGTAGGCACTTAAAACCAGCAACTATGGTGCTGAACCTCTGCTTCAAAGTTGTGGAATTACTATAAGCACAGGCTTTACTCAAGTGGAAGGACATGTTTTGCCTGCTCCAAAGGTATAGTTTTAATTAATGTAGTTGATATTGATCATGACAGTGCTTGTTTGGGTTTCATTAGTATTATGTGTTATGCTTTGAATCTGAATATTGAATTGTTTTCATTAGTTGAAATTTGGCAATGGTGAAGATTTCAGTCCGAGAAATGGAAGGTGGAATTTTAACAATAAGGTAATTTTTTCTTACCTCATATTAGATAATCTTTTACATAATCCTGTTATTGACAATATTGACTCGCATTCTAAGTTCTTAAAGTAACTTGCATGTTTCTCTCCAGAAATTTGTGCAGCCAACAAAGATAGAGAAATGGGTTGTGGCAAACTTTTATGCACGATGTGATGTACGGGCAGTTGTAAGGGATCTAATTAGAATTGGAAATACTAAAGGAATTGTAAGTTTTGCAACTGTGCATATTATTAACTGGAGTATGAATGTGCTAGCATAATTGAATTGTTTTTGTCCTTAAACCTTTGCAGATGATTGACCAACCATTTGACTTGATTGAAGAAAATCCCCATTTTAGACGTGCCCCACCAATGGTTAGAGTGGAGAAGATGTTTGAGATCATTCAGTCTAAATTTCCCGGGGCTCCTCAATTCCTTCTCTGTTTGCTTCCTGATAGAAAAAACTGTGATATTTATGGTTAGTATATTGATATTATACTTTATTTTTATGCTTTTAGTAACTTTATAGTATACTAGATGAAAATTATTGTGACATTGAAGGCTCATGGAAAAAGAAGAATCTTGTTGGTTATGGAATCGTCAATCAGTGCACGTGTCACGGAAGAGTCAATGATCAGTATCTGGGTAATATTATGTTGAAGATCAATGCCAAGGTATGTAGTTTAGGTTTGGTGTTATGGTAAAAAGCTGAGTGGCTACTTTCTACACGTAGTTAGTACCACTGCCATTTCTGAACTCTTTTGTATATTTTTCCATGTGCTTGATTTTTACTGCTTTCTTAATTATATCAGAGAATGTTTTATCCATTTAATTCAATCATTCTCCTGCAGCTTGGTGGGTTAAACTCATTGCTGAGTGTTGAAATTTCTCCGTCTCTTCCTATTGTTTCCAGAGCACCTACTCTCATTCTAGGAATGGATGTGTCACATGGCTCTCCAGGGCAGACTGATATTCCTTCAATTGCTGCTGTAAGTGATTGTTGGGTTCTCTTTGATCACGAAAGATATAATTTGTTTTGACACATACTAAAGATTTTGTAAAACTAAAGTTTAGGTTCAGTATGTGTCAACACATAAGCATTTCAGGTCGACGCATGTGTCTTTCAGGTCAACACATACGTCATATAGGTCGACGCAAAGAAACAATGTTATGAAAGAGGAAATTGAACTCTTAATGCAAATGAAAAATTTTAGTGGAAGACAGGTATATTATTTTGATGAATTTAAAGTTAAAGCTTAGGAGTATTATTTTAATACAATTTTTTTCTAGGGATTGGAATCACCCGCTGATGGTAGACGTCATTTGAGTCTAGCTACCGATTTCCATAATGACATACTTTCTAGATTATGAACCTTATTTATTTTTGGCATAATGATACTTATTGTTATAAGATTATGATTTGATATGTTTTCGGTTTTTTATATTACATGACATGATTATGGAACTTTCATTTTACATGATTATGAAACTCACATTTTTTTATATTATAATGTTTATTTGATATTAAATTTTGGAATTAATTTTACTACGTTAAAAAGCGATAGAAAATAAAATTAGAAAATAATACTATAAATAAAAATATTATTGTATAAATAACTTAAAGAAAAAATAATATAACTATTTTAGTAGATAATAATTTAAATAAAAGAATATATTATAAAATAATATAATACAATACATACAAATTAATAATGATTTAAACTGTTGCTAAATGTAAAAATTAAATAATTAGTTGCGTTTTAAACCGTTACCAAATAAATTATATTTAAAATTTTATAAATCAAATTACGACGATTTGAACCGTCAAGATATCATATTCATGACAGTTTTAAACCGTCACAATCAACAATGGTAACAAAACTCAAAAGGATATTCACGATAGTATTTAAGTGTTGTTATTTTCAGTTTATGTCAGTTCCAACCAGTCGTGAAATAGAATTCACGACAGTTTTAAACCGTCACAATCAACAATGAAAACAAAAATCAAAAGGCTGGTAACGACGGTCTTTAACCGTCGCCATCTCCAGTTTAGGTCAGTTCCAGCCCGTCGTGAAATATAACGACGGTTGGTGTGGCGGTTTTGGCAACCATCGCTAAACAGTCCGGGGACACACGTTTCTGCGACGGTACTACGACCGTCGTAGAATGTAATTAATGGTGGTTTTAACTATCGTAACCTGCCAAAATAACCGTCGCAATCCATTGTTTTTCTTGTAGTGTTATTTGTTAGTTCGTGATCGTGAAGCCGCATTGGATGGTTTTGACATCAAGTTTTAATCCCAAAATAAAATAAAATGATTTTTTTAAGCTCGAGTCAGGGTCCGGGTAGCCATCATAAGCTCACATTAATAGAATATTTATTTGAATTTGAAAATATAGAAATTGGCAAATAGATGAAGATATAATGTCTATTATGTGGCATGTGAGGTTATGGTTATATATAGTTGGTGTCTAGGTTGGCTTATGTGTTAAAATAAATGCAAAAATATTGTTTTAATCCTTTAAGTTGTTTTAAAATATCAAGTTAGTCTTTTAATTTTTTTTTTAACGTTTTGGTCCTTTATGTAAAGTAACATTTGCGTCGTTGACCTTTTTAAAAATCTCATTTATAATAAATTGCAACCTCATATATAATTTGAACTAATTTTTCGCGTTGATCACGAATATGTAATTAAATTTGCGTTTGATTATGTAGTTTGGTCAGATCAAATAATTTTTCATTATGTATTTGTCTACTTTTTTTCCTGATTCTCATGAACCATAACTTGTTTAATAAATTTGATTGCATATTTGTGATCAACGCAAAAAAATCAGTTCAAATGGTATATGAGTTTGCAATTTATTGTAACGGAGATTTTTAAAAAGGTCAACGACGTTACTTAACATAAAGAACCAATGTGTTAAAAAAAACTTAGAGGATTAATTTGATATTTTAAAATAACTTAAAGGACCTAGACAATATTTTTGTCTAAAATAAATGTGATTAGGTGGGCCAAATGCCCGAAGTCAAAGTGTAATTTGATGTGAGTCTAGTTCAAAATACCTAACATATAAAAGTCAATACACGTGATATTTGAGGTACACTTTTTTATTTTTATTTTTTACTATATTCATGTTAAATTTTGAATTGAATTGGGCGTTGCAGTGCTAACTTTGCAGGTCCACTTTGCATCAGAGATCAACATCACTCGTTTAGGATTCCTCACCATCAATACATAATCAATTTTGGTTTTAGAACGAAATAGTGATGCGGTTTTTGAGAATTGACTCCTAACTCTCGTGAAATTTAACAAGTTTATCATCCTTAGACCAAAGTCAGGTCTTTATTGGAATAAAGAGAAAGAAAAAATCAACTCATACATCCTAATGAGGAGATTTGTTAGATCTTTTGATTTCGTTCCACAATAATTGATCGTTAGTGTCGAGATCCATGACCCAGCAAAATCTGAGTATGACCGTCATCAGATCACCTCTTCCAAACCTAAATTTATACTAAATAACGAGACGAGGATTGAGTGAGATTAGGATGTCTAAGACTTTTGAAGACAAACATAACATCAAGCGCGAGGTTGCCTTTAGATATCGTAATCTATGTCACTGACAGGACACCAATGAGATACCTCATAGACGACATAAATCCTGTACAAAATTTTAATCCAGCACAATCAATTAATCAAATCTCCATCAATGATATCTAAATGCATACAATGGCGGAGATCCATTGACTTTCGATTATTCAATAACTTACAATCACGTAAGAAGAGATCTAACATCGTCAATATATAAAAAGCCAGTGAGAAAAAGTTATCCTTAACCTTTTGGTAATTTCATGTGGGGGCACCATTAAAGACATCCTTAGTAGGTCTGTCTTAGAAAATTAAGCACCTCAGTTTCTCCTATTTGCATGGAAATATTATAGCAAGAAATAAAAACTAGGATCAATTCATCCTGACAAAAAACTAACGTATTAAAGAAATCGCCTTCAAGAAACTTAATCAATTTTCCATCAGTGATTTCGAAATAAGCCAAACTTGGGGCTAGTTCAGTCGGATCCGTGAAGGTTGTTTTGGACATCCCTTTCAAGTACATCATTAACTGAGTTTTGGAGGATTGTTATAGACCAACAAAGGCCCCAAGGTAAATAACAAAAGGGATTAAACAACTCAGTTGACGGTTAATAAGAGTCAGTCGAGGGCATTCACCCAAAGACGTCTTTGTCGAACATTAAATATGGATAACATTTGATAATGACAACAATTCCTTGGTGATAACCAAATAGCGGTTAAAGATGAAACCAGATCATTTAGGTTTGATGGACTTGACTCTCTGATGATGGCAACCAAAACAAATATAACTCAAGGCACGTCTTATGCTCAAGCAATTGTCTACAAGGATAAATCATCTGACAAGTTTTGAAGTATATGGAAGTATGAAACCCTACCTCGATACGTCTGATTGATTATTTTGTAAAGCATAAGGGCATTCTCGTTAAGTGTATGGCTACACGCACACACACAAACACATTTACACACACGCAAACACAAACACATGTATACGCACACACGTGCACGCATACAAACGTACATACACATACATGCAGAGGCACACACACATGCACACACACACACACACACACATGTGCATGCATGCACATGCACACGTAGACCCACACACACACGCACACGTAGACCCCCCCCCCCACACACACACACACGCACACACACCCACATACACCCATACACACCCACACCCCTCATACACGCACAAACGCACACGCATATGCACACACACACACCCTCTCACGCACACGCACACACACACATACATATACACACACACACACACTCATATACGTACACGCACACACATACACTTAGAGCAGATTATTATGGATTGCAAGGTTATTGAATCAAGACCTTAAGGGATATTGTATTGCGTTAATAGTTTAGTGCCTAGTTCATCGGAAGGAATTGTTGTGTAAAAGTTCTTTGTAATTAAAACACTATAATCATTTATCATCCTAGTAGAAGATCATGATTATGTTTGGATGGCATCATCTATTTAAGAGTGCATGTAAGCAAAGCGAGAATGAATGTCGAAGCACTGTAAACTCAGGCGTGTCAAATTTCTCATTATCTTCAAGATGGTTGAGAATATGATGGATTTCATGGAACTGTAAAGGGTTTTTTTTCGTTAATGTTTTGATGAGAAAAAAGTAAGCTTTTGGAGTTTGGTCAGTGTTATAAGCTTTGAAAGAGTCAATGAGAGTGGAGAGAATAAAATGGTTGTTGTCGTTGTTGTTTTATGGTTGGGGTTGAGTGGTGGTTGCTTGTTTGAGATTTTGCATAGCTTGTTGTTCACCGAAATTATGATGCCATGAAGTTTTGTAAGGTGAGTGTGGCCATTTTCTGAATTTTCTGAGGTATTTGTTTGCAGATTTGGATAAAAGGTTTCGAACCATTTTCGGATTTGTTAAGGAAGAACAGAATTTAGCAATGGATTTTAAGGAAAATAGTAACGACCAATTTTAAGAATTGGGCGGTGCTGGTTTAAATAAGAGGACCCTTGAATCGAGTACACTTTCAGATTCTTCATTCATGTTTTCTATAAAATGTACCAAATTGAATGAAACTCTGTCAGTCTTGGCAGTTTTTATTTGTTAGTTCGTGATCGTGAAGCCGCATTGGATGGTTTTGACATCAAGTTTTAATCCCAAAATATAATAAGATGGTTTTTTTAAGCTCGAGTTAGGGTCCGGGTAGCCATCGTAAGCTCGCATTAATAGAATATTTATTTGAATTTGAAAATATAGAAATTGGCAAATAGATGAAGATATAATGTCTATTATGTGGCATGTGAGGTTATGGTTATATAGAGTTGGTGTCTAGGTTGGCTTATGTGTTAAAATAAATGCAAAAATATTGTTTTAATCCTTTAAATTGTTTTAAAATATTAAGTTAGTCTTTTAAATTTTTTTTAACGTTTTGGTCCTTTATGTTAAGTAACATTTGCGTCGTTG